GCCGGGCGCCGCTACCCGAACTCGTCCCTCTTGATGCCAACCTCAGTCAGGGAAGGAAAAAGGGAGGAAGAAGGGAAGAGAAAAATCCAGCTGCAGAGACCCGGGTCCACTCACACCTCCGCTACCGCCGCCATCTTCCTGCCTGGCCCACTATTTACCCTCCCCTCCCTTCACCACTCCCCGCCCCTCCGTCCTCCCATTCTCCCCCTATTGCCCGCACATGCCAAGAGCTTGAGATTCCCCTCACCTAAGCTTCCTACCTCCGGCCTTCTCCGGTGACTATGGGTAGAAAGATAGTAAAAAAAGAAGACATTTTACATTTACACCATGTATAGCACAAAGGAAAAGAATGACAATGACAAAGATGATCTTCTGCTTACGATGGGACTTAATGATAATAAAGCAGGAATGGAAGGATTAGATAAAGAGAAGATTAACAAAATTATAATGGAGGCCACAAAGGGATCCAAATATTATGGAAATGAACTCAAGAAGGAAAAACAAGTCAACCAACGAATTAAAAATATGATGCAACAAAAAGCTCAAATTACCAGCCAGCAACTAAGGAAAGCACAATTACAGGTTGACAAATTTGCAATGGAATTAGAACAGGGCCGGGATTTGAACAATACCATAGTGCATGTTGACATGGATGCCTTCTATGCAGCTGTAGAAATGAGGGACAATCCAGAATTAAAGGATAAACCCATTGCTGTAGGATCAATGAGTATGTTGTCTACTTCAAATTACATTGCAAGGAGGTTTGGTGTTCGTGCAGCCATGCCAGGATTTATTGCTAAGAGACTCTGCCCACAACTTATCATAGTGCCCCCAAACTTTGACAAATACAGAGCTGTGAGTAAAGAGGTTAAGGAAATACTTGCTGATTATGATCCCAATTTTATGGCTATGAGTCTTGATGAAGCTTACTTGAATATAACCAAGCACTTACAGGAAAGACAAAATTGGCCTGAGGACAAAAGAAAGTATTTTGTCAAAACTGAAAATGCCATAGAAAATGATCAACCAGAAAAGGAAGTGGATAAACTGAGTGAGCATGAACGGACCATCTCTCCACTACTTTTCGAAGATAGTCCTCCTGATTTGCAAACCCCATCGAACTTTGAAGAACAAAACAATCCTCAAATACTACAGAATTTAGTTGTTTTTGGAACATCAGCTGAGGAAGTGGTAAAGGAAATTCGTTTCAGAATCAAGCAAAAAACAGCACTGACGGCCAGTGCAGGAATTGCCCCCAATACAATGTTGGCAAAAGTTTGCAGTGACAAGAATAAGCCAAATGGACAATATCAAATTCTCCCCAACAGACAAGCTGTGATGGGCTTCAT